CAGCAGTGGCCGCTCCACATGGTAATCTCGCCTCCTCAGCTCCATTGCCTGCGTTGTGGACAGCAGTGCCTGGGTGTCCCTCTGTCTGGGTGGTGAGGCCAGAGACACAGTGAGGGCACTCCTGGCCCAACCTCCCCTAGACCTCCACCTGGGACCACAGAGTCACCCACCTGACTTTTCTAGGGCCCAAGATCTAGGTAGGTCCAACCCCCCAGCTGGCTCCTGCAGGCCCTATGCCCACGCCCAGGCAGGGGCAGTACCTGAACTTTGGCTGGTGGAAGACTCTTGCTGGGCCAAAGTCTCCCACAAAGAAGCAGCAGGATGAACACAAGCCACACTTCAGTCCAGCCCTGAGTGTTCACCAATCTAGGTTCCAGGCTGACTGTCCCTCCCAGCCCCAACTCTTCTCCAGCCAACCCCAGTCCAGTCCGAGTCCTTATCCAGCTGTCCCACCAGCCCAGCACATGCTGTCTGAGAGTACACGCAAGGAAAGAATCCAGCAAACCAGGAAAGTCTCTCTTCACATGAGAAGACAAGTATTGGGGCTAAGATTGCCCCCGGGCCTCCAGCCACAGGGTCCAGGTTGTAGACCTGGACAAGCTCAGGCCTAATCTGGGAAAGCCAGGGGATGGCTCTCACCGGGAGGGAGAGTTTTCCCCCTGGAAAGAGAAGCCCCCATTTCAAGGGGGGACAATCTCACCTGGGAATAGATCTCCGGGAGGATCTCGCCTAAGGAGAAGCTCTCACCTGACAGGAAAGTTTTCACCAGCTAGGTAAGTTCTGTCCTGGGGAGAATCTCTGATCTGCCCAGTGGCTACCACCTGATTAAGGGAAACGATCTCACTTGGGAATAGGAGATCTGGAGGGGAAGGGGGGACAGTTCTTACCTGGGGGAAGCTGTCCCAAAAATAGTTCTCACTTGGGAATAGGAGCTCTTGGAGGGGGAGCGCTTACCTGGGGGAAAGCTTTCACTAGCAGGGAAAGTTTTCACCTGCCAGGAAGGTTCTCTTCTGGAGAGTATTCTCACCTAAGGGAAGCTCTGACCTGGGGGAGGCTCCCACCTGTAATGGGAGAAAACTCTCACCTGGGAATGGATCTCAGAGGGGGGAATCTTACCTGGAGGGAAGCTCTCCCCTGCTGGGAAAGGCTTCACCTGTCAGGAAAGTTCGGATCTGTGAGAAGCTCTGACCTACGGTGAGGTTCCCACCCGAGGGGCAGGAGCTCACCTGGAAAGGGCCCCTAACCTGGATGTCCCCGTTGGAGAATGGAGTGAAGTGGGTGTAAGGCCGATCCTCAGAGACTCTTGGCATTGCCAGCTCACAGAGATCTTTGAGCCCCGTGGCCCCTCCTCTGTGAGTCACTCGAAGTCTTTAAGGGCACCCACTCCCGCCACCCCTCCCCCCCGCCCCCGTCGAACCCGTGCTTGGAGGGAGGGGCTCAGATCCTTGACCACTCCCTCTAGGAGGGCCCAGCGGCCAGAAGGGCCGGAGCGCACATTCCCGAACCAGTTGCATCCCTGGGTGGACCCGGGCCCCGGCTATGGACACTCTAGCAGCCACGTCCCGGGCCCCAACGCGCCGCACCGGCGCACCTCCTGGTCCGGAGCTCCTCTGCACACAGCCGCCGGGAGGCGGCCCCCGGCTAGCCCTCGAGCGGCTTTCCGCACAGCCCGCAGGGGGTGGGGTCGCGCCGGCTCCCGCCCCATCCCTCGCTACGGTTGGGCAGCCGCCTGCAGAAAATCGACAAAGCGGTAAACCGAGGCGCGGCAGGCGGGAAATGCCTGCTCGGGACTCGGCGGTACCCCTTCCGAGCTAACCCAAGCCGGTCGCCTGCTCGGGGGGGCCAAGGGGTGGCCCGCGCCTCGCGGACTCGAACGCTGGGAACCGGGGCCGCGCCCTGCACTCACCCCGGTGCTTCCGACAGCCCCATGGCGGGTGGGCAAACCGAGAGGCGGTAGCCCCCACAGCTGGAGCGACAGGCAGCTGCGGCCCGAAAGGCGGGGCCGGGACGGGGGCGAGGCCTGAGGCGCGCTCCCAGGGGCCAATCCCCGGGAAGGACGGGGAAGGCTTGGACCATTCAGCGTGCCGGGGCGGAGCCTAAGGGACGGTCTCCCGGCGCCGCGAACCCTGAGGAGGGAGAATTAACCCCTTCCTCCCCCTGCGGCTTGGCTTGAACTCCCCCTCGTGGCCCGCCTAGCTCTCCTGCCTGAGCCGGTTGTTATCGCAGAAGTGGGACTAAGGACCCGAGCTGGCCTGGCCGTAGCCACGGCCCCAGGTCCCTGAGTAGGGTGGGGCCGATACCACCAGGTCCCGGCTTCTTGCGGAGGGTCCCTGCGGGACGCGGAGCAGGATGTCTAGGGCTGTGGCTGGTGACCAGAGCCTTATCTCTCCGTGGGGTATCCGGGTCCATGGGGCCTCTCAAGCCTCCAATTGAGGGCGCCATCCTCACTCAGGCTTTCCCCCTGAGAACTGGCATGTCTCTGAGACCGAAGGGGCTCAAAGGCCTCCCTTCAACGCTAGGCACGCAGACCTTAAAGGCTTCGAGGTTCCCCTCCCCCGCACATAACACTGGCCCGGCAACAGGCCCGTTCTGCCTGAGTTCTTGAGGAAGCAGCTCCAAGTTTGAGAGGCTGGCGGGGGTTCAGTGCTGTCAACCGGGTGAGGGCAGTTCCTAGGGTCGGCTTGAAGGCCAGGGCAAATGCCAGGTCAGGGCTGCAGGCCTTGCAGACTGAGAAAGCCATCATGTTGCTGCCTTGACCAGGCCTTACTCTCAGCACCTGTTCTCATACTTCAGGCCCAACCTCAAGGCGAAGGGACAGAATTCAGGATGAAAGAGATAGAAACCTGGTCCAAATCTCCAATGAAATGAGCTAAAAATAGCCGAATATTCTTGGGGAGGGGGGAGGGGGCAGTGCTCAGATTTCTCCCAAAGGTCATCCCAGCCTGAATCATTCATAGCCACCCTCCTACCCCCCACCCCCAAACAGAATGAGGCAATAACCATTTTCTATAGAAGTTTATTCCCAAAACAGAGCGCGGCTTCACGGAACAATTTACACAGACAGGAAAAGGAGCCACTGGGCTGGAGGGGGGGGAACGACCCCCAGAGAGGGGCATCTACAGAACCTAGGACATAGCAAGGACAGCCCCCTCTCCCCACAGCAGGCCCCTCAACCCTTCAAGGGCTGGGGTCACTCTGGGTAAGGAGAGCTGGGGTCCTGGCTGGCGGGATTTGGCACCAGTCAGTAAAGTACAACTTTTAATCTCCTTGGAAACTGCCCCCCAAGAGTATGCATGAAGGAGGTGGGTGTCCGCAGGGACCCTCCACAACCCTGCATGGCCACTGTTCCTAGTGGGAAGAGGACGCCTACTCTCGAGGCCTTCTAGGCCTGTTGTTCAGC